AAGAGACGTGGTTTTGGTTATCTGAGTGGCTATTCGATTCACAAGAAAGTCTCTGATACATGGAGTTAGAACATTATTTTTAGATTCCGAAGTAAATGACTTTTATTGCTTGCTGTTGATGGCAAGTTGTGGCAGCTCGGCTATAGTTCAAGAAGGACTAGAAAAGCACCACTGACTGTAGCCTGACTGCAGTTTACGTCTACAGACAGAAGCGGGCGGCGTAGTGAAGGATTTACGTGCCTCCAACTGAGTAAGCGAATGGATGGATATATTCACTCCTTGGCCCAAGTTTAATGAGGTTCAAATGGGACATGTGGGTTCCCAAGTGCTCCCCATGTACTCGTATTTTAAATGTGACTTGGTACTTTAAAGGGCTGTGTTTATACGGAAAAAAAATAAAACACTTTCTTTCTTAGCCTAACAAGAACACCTGTTCCAAAATTCTCTGTCCTTTCGAAAGATGTTTTAACACTGGCGTTATTTACATTTTCATTTCGATTAATAAGAGTGTTTGCTGGTCTGCTTTGAACTGGAGAGTCGTAGTACAATCACTTTTAATTAATGATTCGGGTTTCTTATGGTTCTTCTTATTAGTGGACTGGTGATTTCTCCTACGCGTGTTGTTACTTACTGAAGAAAAACGTATTTTTCCTTTTCCAGTTTGTGTACTCAGATTATGTCTATCAGTGTCTCGATATCAGCAAGAACATAGTTATCATAATGATAATTCAATTCTGAAAATAAAATACATGTGATTTTTATTATTTCTGAACACTTCGTTCTCATTAGAGGTATTATAAAAATCCAAATAAACCGGAACGAGAAAGAACTAATTGTGGATTTAAAACTAAACACAAAGGTTTTTAGTGTTAGTGTGTCACTCATGCCCAATTTATATCATTATTAATTATTTTTAGCACAAATCATTATGATTACTTCCGTTTATGGCCGAGCAATTTATAATTTCACTTTGTTCTCTTTGTTACAGGCTAATTCCACGGAGCAGAATCTCTTTTGAGAAGATGAAAACTGCTCAGCTAATCAAGAAATTCATCGCCGTTTATTAAGTCCGATGGTTTATTGTTATTTTCTATCCCGCACCATTTTAAATCCGGTCCACACATTCCCACTCTTCATATTCACGATCCATTCAATATGATCCTCTCTTCTACAAATAGGCCTCCTCAGAGGTCTCTACTTTTCAGACTTTCCTTTTATAACTGTGTTTGCATTTCTCATGTTTATGTGCTAGCAGCATTCCGCCAATCAATTAAATATGTAACATTATTGTCGTCGAAAATAATTGCCGTTTTCCCACTTGGTCGCTGAAGCGACTGGGACGGGGTACATGGAGAGTAGCTGTACAGACCTGCAGAAGTTAGAAGCCTCCTTGAAGACACAGACCTATCTTCCGTGTCTAAAACAGCCAACATTGCAGTGGCGTGAATCTTCGATGTCGTGTTCATTTCATGCGCCAACGAGACAGGTTATAAGTTAGATGTAAGATTGTCGTGGTAAATAAAAGCAAACATATATAGTCCTGCTGGTTTTTAATGTTTCCCAAATATTGTTTCGAAAGTGAAATAGCGCCTCTCTGTAACTCGAAGTCGGATAGGCGCCAGATCGTCTCCTGCATGTCTGTTCGTTTATTTTGCAAGTAATATAAGGCCTCACCTTGTGGCCTCCAAGCTTCGTACTTAGAAATCCCAGTAGTCACTTGGGAGGATGTGGGGCCTCGAGACGGCGACGCTGGAGGGCGGGGCAGACGCCGTGAGACGCTTCGTGCCAGTTTAACTGCGTTATACAAGTGTGGAACACCCCTTTCTAAGTCAAAGCTTTCTCTCGTTTGCCAGACTATATAATACAACGCTTGTTCAGTTTCTACTCCAATTATTAATCCCATGAGTGGGCGGAGAGGTGCAGAGAAAATGCTTTGGGAGGCGCTAGAATAACTAATGACGTCGAACTGCAGGGAGCAAACCACTCTTCTAACTTTCCACCAACCATCCTCGCCAGTAATGAAAAATTGGGTCAATTAAGTTTCATTACTGATTCATTATGCTTCCGTTCCACGCCCAGTGATCATTAATTTGTGTTTCAGCGTAGCCACTTCACTTCATGCCCTCCATTGCTTGAATCCAGCGTCTTAACACTTAGGTACTTCACATTCACACCCATGGACTTGCGTCTTACTTATCTCACGCCATCATTAGAAAGGACTGGAGGCATTTTCGTAGTCAACATTTAACAGTGAAGATTATTGTCGTCTAGGTTGTTGCACCGTGTATTCTGGTAGAAATTTACCGACGTTTCAGAGGTCCTTGCTCCCTCCTCCCTGATGATGGTGTCAACAACCATCTCTATCTACCAGATTACGATGCATCTTTTTATTTGCCACTTCGATTACTGCAATTATCACAATATTTATCAGCACCAGTCCCGTAGTTGAATGTATGATTCATCCTTGTCCTCGTAGGTGACCGATATTAGAATAAATGGGGCGACGGCAGATTAAATACACTGAATGATCTTACAAATGAAAGCGAAGCAGATCTGCACATTTTAAGAGTGTAAAAGAAATTACTTTGTCTATAAATTATAAGATTACATCTTTCAGAAGCGTTCTATGCATGACTCTTAGTGGAGAAATTCTTGTGGCAGGAATAAGTCCATCTGTTTGTGAGATAATGTATCAGAACCCCTCTGTTAACAAACACTGTTTAGGCTGACATAATTTTATATTGTAAGCGTCTTTACCAACGCAAAACATTCTGTAGTGCCAATTGTATAGAGGGTTGGTATTCCCCAGTATAATTGTAGATGTGGTGAAAGAAGCTTGCATTGTCGGGAGCCGAACAATGGACGTCAAGTCCGTAAGTTATTTTACTGGCAGTTAACACAATCTAAATATATCAGATATACAGGTTGCACCAAAAAGATTTATATACACATTTAATAAATGAAATAAATACATTTTAATCAACTACTCGTAAATCACTGGCTAACAAAGCTGGAAGGACAGACAAAAGCCCACAACATAATATTCCACTAAGTAAAGAAGTTTTTCGATTCTTTATCTTTGCAATCTGTTTGTGTTCAAACTGGGTTTTAGAAGGTTCTAGAAAGAATTATTTTTTTTACCTGTCCCCAGGACTCAGCATTCGTCCTTCACTCAGTTTATCCCAGTGGAATAACACCTCCCCCCTCCAGGGTGATACTCTAGAGCCGGTTCGAGTCAATCACCGTACGGTTTTTTAAATTTTGAAATTTGGATCTCACCCAGGGCAGTCCACGTGGTAGGCTATTTTGACTCTGTGACAGGTTTCTCACTGAGTCGATCGGTTTACCCCTGCTAATATCATTCCACTGCTGTTCCATATTCACTCATGTGTCATCTGGGGGTGGACAAAAGGCCGTTAGCGGCCCAGTTACACAGACACATAATCTCACTCCACCGCAACAGTGAAAAATGTTCCGAAGCCTTCACGGCGAATGAATGCACTAAAATTATGGGCCCATATATTACTTAAATATTAATTTATACTATCATTAAGACATATTTAGCATTTTTCATAATGTTTAGTTCCGTTCATGTCCGCGAAATTTAAATTTTACTCTGTTCTGTTGTAGGCCAACTCCATGGAGCATGAGGAGTTCATAGCTGCTCAGGTGCTAATTAAGAAATTTATTGGCCTTTGTGGACCCAGAGAATATTTTAGTACAGTACGGCTTTATCCCTTGCGATTGCAAAGGTCGCATTTAAATAAATCAAAACACTTGTGTTGTAAATAAAATTTATTTATTTTATCGTAATTACTGTTTGACTATAAGTACATCATACTAACTGCCGGTTAACCAGAAATTAACAGTTACCGAACATAACCGTGCAGTTATGTAGGAAATTTTGCAGCTCAGAAATCAAATCTCTCCCTGAGAAGAAATGCTTAAGCGTGAGTTCGACTTGCTCTTTGCAACTGAGCTACAGAAATACAGGGCAGGCTGCCTTTTTCCTGTTGTAAAACATTACCTTGCCTTAATGATCCTGCTGTATGGTCTGTAGCCCATTTCTCCTGGAACGTAACTGCCCACTACACTCCGCACGTCCAGAGTAGATTACCTTCCCCGTCGTCCATCCGGAATCCTCTCGCTGAAGTCACATGCTACCAGACATATTCACGAGATCGGATAACCAAAACGTTTTGCAGATGTTTATTGCTGGAATTCAGAGGGAAAGCAATAAGCCAAGAGCATTCAATGGTCATAGCGACTGTCTTGATGTCATGGGCTCTGGAATTTTGTTTGATACTGATCTTCATGTCCTGCATTCTGTTTTAACATCTCCTCTGGAACACAATTTGGATTTGACAACCAAAGAGTAAACATCTGAAGTCAGCGAATCTGAACTAAATAGTTAACAGGGAAGCTGTGGGTCTTTCAATTACATTTTGTAGAGATTAGGTAAGCTATATGCTCATGTTTAGTCACAAGAATGACAAATTTTTACATGGTAAACAAATCAAGGAGGATACGATGGAATGGACATGCAGTAGACCTGAGAAAGTGAAAGTCGAAAGGGAAAAGAGCACTTGGGAAAACCATAAAATAGATCTTAAGAAAAGAGGATGTGAGGATTTGGACTGGACTGAACTGGCCTAGCACAAAGTGCAATGGGGACCATTGTGAAAATACTATGGAAGAAATTTAGGCTATAAGAATAATGGTGTGTGTCTATCGATTCCATAATCATCTTGAAAATATGAAGCAGCTAGTCTTGACAATACAGTAATTATAGATACTATTTATTATTACTTTAACTGCTAACAACAAATGCACTATGTGCCGTACTTCAACAAAATTAAATTTTTAAAAGTGTGCATGCCTCGATTGTTATGATTGGGTCTTAGGCCTATAAAGTTTCGTGAAAATTCTTCGATTTGTTAAAACTTGAAGGAAAGACGTGGACATAATGATGCAAGAAAGCTGTCTTTTTTAATAAAATAAGTTGCTAACGTAACCTGAGAAGATGTAATGATGCCAGTTTTCAGTCACTCTGTTACCAGGACAACGATTATCTCAAGAATCACTCGTTTCTTTCGTAGAAGAAGAAGCATTCTCTCACGTAGGCTTCCGGCTGGTTTATATCAGTTCAATAAACTTGGTAGAGAAAGGCGTGTGTAAAGATACCATACAGCACATCCCACCTCGCACTTGTGATAACAAGTTTACGTTAGCAAACAGCCTACTTCAGCACATTATGATACATAAGCCTATTTATTTACATAATCGCAAGGTCTCACAAACAACATCTATTAGTGAGACCGTAAGAAGTGATCAGTAAAAACCATTTCGTTTTTCATAAAACATGTAATAAATCCAATACGCAACTAATTTTCCTGTAACACTAAACTTCATGAAGATGGCTGTCTTCTGGGTTGTTTGTTTCCGCACGGCTTACTCATTGCCCTGATGATGACGGCAGCGATAACCTCTGTAACGTCGGTAAACATCTACCATGAGACAGCCAACTTCGTAGAGGTCGCGCGGGAAGTGCTGGCACTTGCGCAAAAGACTGATTTTCGTCGTATGAGATGGACCCGTCCGAAGCACGCGCTAGAGGGGTGTCAGCTTCAGTTGGCTTGTAGCTCTAGTTGTGTTTAGATCGGTGCATGACCGCAGCTGAGGCTGTGAGACCCCCACTACTACTGAACTCCCCTCTCTCGGCTTACACATCGCGCATTTAGGTGCCACCACTACTCGCGCGACCTCTACTAATCTTCGTGTTATTGCCTGTTCGTCTTTATCATTTCTGCAAGTCAATGTGTTTATGGAAAATAACTCTGCATAGTCTTCCTGATTTTAATTCGAATGTTCGGTTACATGTCAGATGAATGATTTGTCCGTTTTTGACTATTTCAACAGCAGAAGAAACTCGCAACTCTGCGCGTTCTTAATTGCGTTAACAGATGAAAGTTTGTGATCAGCTTCTCCACGGCCGCTTTGGCCCGGACAAAGAAGCCAGGTACCCCGTTCGTTTGATAGGAGGCTGGGTAGGCCGGAGCCGGTCTGGACGCTGGGAGGAATCGAACCCCGGTCGCCCATCCCTCGTCATTCTATAAATGACTAAGCTGCCACGTAGTAGCATAAGATGAGCAGCAAAACATGGAAAAGAAACATTGAAAACGAATGAACATTGTATGAAACACGTGGGTGGATTTAGTAGATGACACGAACTTCTGTCTATTGACAAATACGTGGCTCTTCCTGTGAAATTAGTTAAGCTGATCCATTTGTTTTCATTGCTTTGGAAGAAATGGTGGCGTGGTTTGTAGAGTGAGACAAGTTTCCTAGAAACTCCTGACGACATCAGAGGTAAACATTGTGTGGATGATTGATCGATCCTGCCGTCACTCTATACCACAGACCTGCCATCAATCATACGGCAACGTACACACGCTGAATAAGCTTTTCGTCGTGGCTTATGACGGTTTGAGGATCGGTTTTGCCGGGATATTTGACTGATAAGCTCTAGAATGTTATAAT